ACGAACTCGGTAAAGTCACCGCAGCCAAAGACGGCGAGGTTGATGGAGCCGTCTGGTTTGACCATGGCTGAGCGGTCGGTCGGATGATTGGAGCCAGTTGCCGCTGCGATATCCCTTTTTGGAGCTCCCCGCGAGGCGATTGTCTCTAAGGTCCTGCCTGTACTGTCGTTGCTAGCTGGTGGGTGGCGGACAAAACTTCATTATATCGTTCACATGCCATGGTAAAATAGCATCTAAAACGGTGTTTTTATTTCTATTTCAATTCGAAGTTACGGATATAGAATAGACACTACTCTGGAGTATTGCACTATCCGGAGGGTTTGTTGCTATTTCACACGAAAATAGAAATTCTGCGGGACGTAATTTCCAAAAAGTCCGGAAAATGTAAAAATAGCAACCGTAAAAACGAAGTTTGACTTTAACCTGTGCTTTACTAGTACATGTTACTGTAGAAATAGGTTAGAATTTACCGTTGGTGAAGCTCTAACCAATCAATCGATACAGGACATTCGGTCCGACTTTCTTCTGTCAATATCTCACGTCTGATTTTGACATCGGTTTTGTATATAATAAGTATTACAACGAAGAAGAAAGTCGGACAAACGGTCCGACGATCACTTGATTCCTGTATATCGTGTCCGACTATTTTCCATGACATACAGGTATCATTTGATACCTGTATGAATTCATGGCCTGAACCCTAACATTTGTGTTTAAAAGTACTTCTATGTTCGAAGTGTATAAATCTTTATAATATGGAAATCGTATATTGTTGAAATAGGTTGAAACATTCGTTTCCAATACATAACTCAAGTATAAAAGGCGGCACACAATTGTCGCCCTGTGTGAAGTACTCAACTTCAAAAATTGATTGTGGAATCCTGAACTGTTTAAATCGATATATTTTGGGCTCACCCGAATGAGCTCGTTTCTATCCGAAAAACTGTGAAACGACAGCCGATCAGCCGAAACCAGAGGTGGTCAAAATATTATTCGTACATTTTGCGAGAGCATGATCTATTCTTTTCCAAATCAGCGGTTTATATTCATTCCAAGATGCCGCCCAATGAATAATTTATTCTGCTGCAACCGCATCCATGAATAACTTACTCGAATTATTCCCCATAGCAAGTCAAATTGATTAACGTAACGAGTCAATTTATGGACATGCGCCAATTTATGGACAGGGTGCACGAGCCAATCAAAATCAAGTTCAACTTACTCTAATACTGAAATACTTTTGTAACCCATTATCGCACACAGAATAAATTCAAAGAGAATCAATTATCAGAACAGTAGCGAAGGCGCGAGCACCATGGCGCGAAAATCTGAAGCTCATTAACTGTAAACAGAAAAACAAGGTGAAATAGGCAATTTTGTATGCTGCGCAAGGTGAACCACCTTGCGAATTCCATAAATAATTTTGAAATTGTATGATTTTAAAACAGTATAAATTGTATTTCTTTTTCAATTAAATATATCTTCAAGTTTGTATTCTTGATTTTTATTTTTCATGTGTCTGTCTGTTTTTGGAATTCACAAGGCAGGTGGGTAAGACTCCGACGGCGTGATCGAATACGAGCACTGGCCCTGGTCCAATATGTGACGGAGGTACCGCAGCAGCTTGGCGCGCACACGTTCCGATTCCAAGGTCAGACCAAACGCTTGGTTGATCATCGCATCGACTTGGTGGAGGGCGGGACAGCCCCGGATCGACGGGTTGAGTAGCCGCATACACTGCTCCATGCCTCATCCCGCCTTGTTGCGATACATTCTACTCCTGTGATGGCTGTTGATGATGCAAGGAACATTTAGATAATTATGTAGGCTGTGTATGAGAGCAAGATCATGTGATGTGGTATTCAGGACTCGGTCAATTCTACCAGGTCTCAATTTACCACTTGGGATGACCAATTTCATTGGTCATCCCTCATTCCACC